CCAGAATTTGCACTCCTAACAAAGCACGTTCGTATCAATAATAGTGGCTGTTAGGAAAACCGAAAGCATTAAGAAAACGTAACAAATAAAAATAGGTAAAATCAAGGCAATTAATATAAAAATTAAACCCTTGGTGCAACTACGAGCGACGTTGCCCCAAGGCGTTCGCATTATTTTGTAAGATCTCGTTTTTTGGAATAGTAGTTTGATACCTTTTTTATTACTTGTATCACGTACCTTAGCGAGTTACACGACGTCGACTTCACCTTTGCACCACATCAGCAGTAGCATTAGTTAGCGTTAAAATCAGCTGCCATTATTCCCACGTGCCATTATTTTTTGGTCTATCCAATGGATCACAATTATGTTTGGGAGAATAAGATACTACTGCAGAAGTTTTGAAGTCGTCACGCCCTTTGACTATATGGTGCCCATAAGTACATATGGGGTGGCTTTCCTGCTTGCATTCATCAACGCAATTCCAATGTGCAAATTATACACGTCGTTGTGGAAAATTTGCGTTCGCGTTGATTAAATGCACTCGATTGGATCAAAAGCTTCCGTAGTTTCGCTAGTTGAAAGTAAAAGAAATCATGGAGTTTTTTTTTTTAACAAGTTCTTTCACAAATATTTAGTGAATTAATTTCTATACAATTTTTTTTATTTGTTTGCCTGCGACGTAAACACTTATAATATTACGATCATCGCCAACATAAATAAATTTTTTGCACCATTTCCAGCAGTTGAGCTTCGCTAGATTTTTCCGCATCAACAGTAACATAGTTCCACAACGGATATTTGCTCGTATCGACGATCAATGCATCGAAATCTTTACCCACCATGAAATTTCCAGTAACATCGCCCAACGCCAGTGCTTCAGCGCCACCAAGTGTTGCCAAGAATATAGCTTGTTTGTAGTTGAGTGGTCGATATTCATTATCTTGAGCATTTAGGCGACCACTGCCTTTGATCTCCTGCTTCTTCACAAATTCCAGATGGTGGGAAACATCCACAGCACGCAATATGGAATCTTTTATGGACATCGAATTTCCACCCGATATGTCTGTGCCTAAACCAACTTTAACGCCATTTTTTTTATTAGTCGCATCACATCACAGAAACCTGAAGATAAGTTTGT